AACAACAACAACAACAGTTTATAAGAGAGAGTGCATCTAGAACATAATTCTAACTTCAATATATAATCTAACCCACTAACCGTAAAACCTTTCAGAGGAATATAGACTATATGAATAAATTCCAAGTAAGATAAAAAGAAGTGCTGTTGACTAAGGACTTAGTAGAAGAGGCTGACTGTGAATGTGACAATTCACTTTAATCATCCTATAAAAGGCTACTAAATGAAGCTAAAATATTGCTAAATGAAGCTCTATAGCTACATCAAATTTTACAATTAGGATGTAGGCACTACCAAATTTGCCAAGGGAATGCATGGTTTGAATAGTTAGCTCCAATCTATCTCACTTTTACCTTTGAGAACTCTGCATTAAGGAAAATTGCTGCTACTGGGAATGTACTACACACGTGGATTGTGTAAAAATCAAGGTGATGCTGAACTCCCTAGATTCGTTTATCTCTTGCATGTACTGCAAGTACACCTTTTATATTATCCAAGTCTTGCCAAATGTCTGCCCTCACCTTGGTCTTGGTTTTCTGGCCAATGAGTAGAAAAAAAGGATTTCTGCACAAGGGAATAATCTGTTGAGCAAACTCTTTTACCTCACAATCATCTGGCTTTGTGATTCAGCTTCAAAATTCACCTAAAATATACTATAAAATGCTTTTAGCACAAGCAAAGAGAATGGGCCCCATAGTAAAACAGACAAAGACAGTAATGATACCTGATGCCAAGAATTACTGGAAGAAAAGAGAGTGTGTACACCAAGAGAAGTATTAAGCTAATATAAGTTTGAAAGTATGGGCACAAGAAGAGACTGGCCTAAAGGGAAGAGCAATGCTGGTTTCCAATTTGACTAAAGCTACCTCAAGTATCACTGAGTAAACAATCACACTATTGTTGTTGTTAGGTGCTGCTGAGTGGGCTGTGAATCACAGCAACCTTATGTACAAAAAAAACAAAATGCTATCCAGTTGTCACCATCTTTACAATCTTTGCTATCCTTGAGGCCATCAAGTAGTTACTTGAGGCCATGAAATAGTCACTGTGTGAATCCATCTCATCCAGCAACTTCCCCTTTTGCACTGACCCTCTACCTTACCACGCTTGATATCTTTCTCTAGGGCATGGTCCCTTCTAACATTACCAAAGTAGGTGAGATGAAGCCTGGCCATTCTCACTTCAAAGGAGCTTCCACCTGCACTTCTTCCAGGACAGATTTGCTTATTCCTCTGGCAGTCAATGGTGTTTTCAGTATTCTTCAACAATACCAGAATTCCATGACATCAACTTTTCTTTGGTCTTCCTTATTCACTGTCCAGCTTTCACATGCATATGAGACAACTCAAAAGACCAAGGCTTGGGTAAGGCACACCTTAGCCTTCAAAGTGACATCTTGGCTTATTAACACATTAAAGAGGTCTCTTGAAGCAGGATCGCTCAGTGCAATTGTTGTTGTTGTTGTTGTTGTTGTTAAGTGCCTTCGAGTCGTTTCCGACTCATAG